TTATTCACATGTTCCGATGTAGACAGCACTTCTCTGACACATGTTTAGTCCTGGTGTCTGTAGTTGGATAATGAGTTTCTTTAAGCCCACAGTTTCCTCTGTGAATGAGCTGAAATGACAGGGCAAACACAGCTTTATGAGACACTACCATGATGAGCAGTTGTCTTTACTGGTGTTTCCACTTCATGTTAGTCCTGTACATTTTCAAGACTCCAGTGCCCAGTAAATCATCTCTTGCATCTGAGTACAATGTAGAATTCAGGACATAGTGATAATACAGCTGATACTTTTTCAGTTTCATACTAAAACTTTAACTTGTTTTTGATACTAAAGAAAAGGCTTGATTGTCAATATGGATTCCAATACCACATGGTGATAATAAAATAATAGAAATAATTTTTGCACAGAAAGTATGTATACTTTTTGTGCAAAAAATTATTCTGTATCTATCAGCATGTGGTCTTATACTTGTTCTATTCAGGATTGGTCTATTTGATTCAGTATTAATACATCAAATTGAGTATTTTGACAATGGTTTTAGTATTGAATAGAATCTGGGTATCATTTTTTGACAACCTCAGGCCCTTTACCACAGACTGTATAAAGATGCAGACTAAGGGAGTGTGTCGTCACTCATAGCGTTCAGCTCCAGTCAAATGAAGCACACGAGGCTTGCAGTTACAGGGGTGAATTTGGAGCCAGATCCAAATCAGGAATAGGAACTTATTTACTTACAAAATAGCAAAAGGAAAAACAGCAGGATCATGTAGAGCGGGTTAATATGGACGTTTGCAGACCAAAATGACAAGGCTCACTGCAGCAGTTACAGAGAGAATGGTGACAATTTTACAATGTAAAGTCAACTGGGGCCTGAAGACTTCTTATTTTGAATGCAGTTGCTAATGGGTTAGCTATGTTTATTTATTTAGACAGTCTATGGGTTCAGAGACAGAAGCCAAATCAGAAATTTATCAGCAAAACCAGGAACTTCTACTGAGCCCATCTGCATTCAAAGTATTAGATAACCTGAGCCTGAATAGCCAGATCAAACTTAGTGGAATTCACAAAAACATCAACATGAAATACTCCCTATTCCAGAGTAATGACAGTTATTTTAGACCACTCCTAACCGCTGAAGATTGCCTCATGGATTGAACTCTGCACAGTGACATGTTTGCCACCCACCCGGAGCATGTAAGGTCCCATGGGTGCAGAGTGGTGGCCCTGCTCTTCTTGTACATGGGTGCTGTGGTTGGTAGAGGCACCAGCTGAACAAACAGTGTCCACTTTGAGTCCATGTGGAGAGTGTGTAAACAGACCAGAGCTTTGTGATGAAAAGAGCACACAGAAAGAAAAGACATCTGCATGTATCAGTTTAATTATGTGGAGCTGTTTAAATATAAGCCTCCAGTGCACTCAGATGTGAGAGGTGATCACAGGTTTACAGGTAGATCCCAGAGAGACTTGTGTTTGGACCATGAGGCAGAGGTAATGTACGCTCTTGGTGGTATGTAGTTTGAAACAACAGCTGGTAAAATAATATGGAATGATTTGGATTTGATCTCCAGTGTCTGGTACTTAAAGTCCATATGGCTGTTTTGTCACTACTGTAAACTGTGTAAAGAAGTATAGATAAGTATAAAGGAGTATGTGTCACTCGTAGTGTTCAGCTCCAGACGGTTATAGCAAATTTGGAGCCAAGTTCAATGTTAGGAATAGGAATTTATTTAGGGACAAAATAGCTAAATTAAAACTCTAGGATCATGTAGAGCGGGTTAATACTAACATTTTAAGACCAAAATGACGAGGCTCGCTGCAGCAGTTACAGAGAGAGGGGTGACAATTTTTCACTCTTAAGTCAATTAGACTCAGAGTCGATGGAGCCGGAAGCACCCCCATGCTCACTTCCTATATGGAACATGGTGACAAGCTAGTTACCTATGTCCATTTATATACACACTACTATATACACTATAGTCTCTACAATATTAAAGAAAAATGGGATTGGAAGGTGAAAGACAGATTTTCAGGACACCAAGAGTACTGTCTGGCTTGTTTCTGTATGTTCAATATCTTGTGGCAAACTTATACTGAGCTGAATGGACATTACGAATGAAATCTTTGTGATAGCAGGTCTGAATCTGCCTTTGAACATGTCATATTAGAGTTTGACTGAATATAAACTACACATTTATATCACCAAGTTAATCAAAAAATAGTTATAAATTCACTGAAGCTATACGTTCCAAAAGCCTTGTTGTTAGTTGCCAGAAAAGTTTCATGGAGAAGTACTTTACCTCCTACACTGAAGCAGCAGGTGAAATGCTTAGGGGACGTTTACAGTATGGAGGAACTCACAGCGCAACTGAGGCTGAAAAAGGCACTTTTATGCAAAGATGGTCACAGCAGCTATCTATAAAGAAGACAGATTGTCCATAGTATTGAAAAAGAAACTAGGATTGAAACTAGATAGTAATTTGAGCATGTATCAATACTTAAAAAATCAAATTCACAGGATAGAAATTTACATTTCTTGAATAGCTTTAGAATGATCTTGTATCTTGTATCAGAAAAAATATAAAAGCAGATAGACTAATACACACTCACAGACCACTATGGAACCTACCTGGACCACGGAGGGATTATACAGATATAAGACCACATGGTAATATAAAAGAAAGTACTATGATATGAATTCTACTGTCTAAATAAAGTTGATTGTAGTATCGGATTCAGTACTGAAATCAAGTCAGTTTTGACAATTTTATCAGAAAAATTTGAAAAAACACTCATTGGTTACCCTCAATTGTTCATTATATTTTGAAACAAATAAACACTGGCATAAAAAAAATCAGATACAACATGTAAAATATATGTTTGGTACACACCCAGAATATCACACTCTGCATATAGCTGTGTTCCACATTCCCTGTCTCCCTTCACTTAACATGTGCACGACAACACTCAAAGCGGTGCCCCTTTTCCTCAAACTCCGCGCTTTTCAGACTTCTCATGTTCAAAGGCTCTGAGTCACGACAGGCTCAGGATCTGCCCGCCTGATCCGTGTTGGGAAACAAAGAATGGGATTGGGCGGGAATTCTTCTCCCACACCAAACAACTCATGCAACTCCACACATTAAAGCGCCTGAGATACCAGCAGCCAACCAGAACACAAGACACTGTTATAGAATTCTGTGTCTCTTTTCAAGGCTTTTAACAACACTGTGAAAAGGGCGGGATCCACATAGTTGGGTAGCAAGATATATTAATATACAATTTCAATGCTCACAGTTAGTACATCATAACGGCTGTAATGATCACACTTACAACATTTCCTTTGCAGACAACAAAATGTCCTGTTTTATTCTGAAATGCATGTGATTCTTGTGTAGCAGTTCACAGTTTAGTCTTGTCTCAAATGTTAAAGGAACAGTCTGGAATTTTGGACATAGGGCCTCATTTCCTAGTGAGCCAGAGTGCTGGAGACGTGTGGAGACACTTTTTAAAATATTTCATCCAGTCCTTGTATTTGCAGAGGTCGCTGGTGCTTGGCTAGTGTATGTCAATGGTCATAGTTATCCTGCCACTAAAAACAAAATCTTAACCACTCCACAAAGCACCCGAAGCAAAACAATTGTAACACCAGACTGTTGATGTGAATGTCTGTGTCAGTAGAATAATTTTAGAAGTAAAACCAACCTTGCATTTGAAGGGTTTATGTCTGAGCAGCAGCAAGTTGTACTTCCTGATAGAAAACTTGGCAGAGGCGAACTGATATCACCTAGCACCTGTCTTACCGGCAAAGTTAAATTCTACTGCTGCTGAGAAAATAGTCCCTCAACATGCAACAATTCATGCGATGCAAGGTTAGTTTTATTTCATACATTATCAACACAGACATTCACAGCGACAGTCTGCTGTAATAATAGATTTGCCTCTGGTGTTTTGTGGAGTGGGTAAGACTCTTTTTAGTGGCAGACTAACTATGACCATTGACATGCGCTATCCTAGCACCAGCGACCTCTGCAAATGCAAGGACTGGATGGGATATTTTTAAAAGTGTCTCTACACGTCTCCAACACTCTAACTGGCTAACTAGGAAATGAGGTCCTATGTCCAAAATTCCGGATAGTCCCTTTAAATGCACCTTGAAATGTTTAAAACTTAAAGGTCCTGTGTTACACAAAATTGATTCTTTTGAGCTTTAAGCCATGTTATAATAAATATATAACGTCATCAAACACATACCTGGAGTTGTGTTTTGTTTAATTCATGTTTTCAGTAATCCTTTAATATTAGTCGTGTTTACATCTCCAAAGCTCAAAATGCTCTGTCCCACTTTGTGATGTCATGTAATGTTAGTTTTTAAGTTCAGCTACTTTTTTTTTTACTTTAGTTCAGTAGAGTTTGGCTTTCCAGGGCTGAAATCATCCAAATGATTCTAGTGAAGGTGTATGGAGTTTAAAAACACAGTGTAGCACTTCCTGTATTGCCACATGACATCACAAGGTGGAACGGTGTTTTCAGTTTGAGAGATGAACTCAGCCTAAATCAGCAAGATTTGTGAGATAAACGTGTGAATGAAACAAAACACAACGCATCAAAATCTATTACAATTCCAAGACTTGTGTGAAAAATTTAAAGCGGATATTGTCACTAAATCGTTTAGCCCTACTACTCAAATTATGGCTGGGAGACAGTTACACAATTTGGTTTCACAGTAACGTAAGAAGAGAAGAGATGTAGCCACCTGCGGATTTGCTCTGCCCTGTCAAACATAAAGGACTGACTTAAGCTTGTGTCTGCTTTATGATCCAGTACCACCCACTTCAAAATTGTCCTACTTTATTATATAACAGCAGCCTTAGTTACACAGTGTTTTGGCCCTGTCTTCTGTGTGATATATGAGTGTGGTAGGTAGGGTCTTGTTTGAGGGGGTGAGGGCACTTAGACTCTTATATCAGGTTTCTAATTGTCATTTTTCTCTTTGTGCGTTGCAGGCAGGTAAAGGAGAGCCCCACGTTTTCAAGGAGAAGAGCTTTAAGAAGAAGAGACAGTGTAGTGTGTGCCGACAGACTGTGGACAATGTGGGGTCCTTCTGTAGAGGTATGTATGGTATTTAAAGAACATCTTTTATGCAAATTTGACCTTTTTACTGTTGTACTCTCACTAATCTTGTCACGATAATAAATTTTGAAGTTCAGTATATTGCTGAAGTAAATATAGATGACCACAAATGTACAATAACGTTAAAAAAAATATGAGCTGCAATGAGTAAATAAAAGAATTAAACACTTTAACACTTAGTTTGCATCTGTAATGAATCATAGAAGTTATTAATTTAACCTTTTACTATTTAAATTTGATCATTCAGACAAAAAAGAAACAAACATTTCTCGGTAGTGCAAAGAAAATATACACACAATTTAATGTAGTAATTATTGCGACAGGCCTAATCCCTAATCAAAAACATATTTGGAGTTGTAGTTTTTGCTTCATTCACGGTTGTTTCATTAATCATCCTCCTTCTCAGAAATGCTCTGTTCGTATTTTGCCAATTTAGCTGCGTCACAGATAAAACTCTAGACTTCTCCTACGCAGTTTTTCAGCCCATAAACCATCACCCGACTCATTCTGTGGTTAAAATGTGTTTACAATGAAAGCATGGCTCGGTTCGCATAACATTCACAGGACATAAGGACCTCATTTGTTTACTTTCTAATTGTACATTCCCATTACTGAAAGCACAGGGTCCTCCAACGTCTAAATGTTTCATTGTAAACATAACTGTCATTATTATTTTAAGTTATAAAATGTGAAATACCTATCTCAAGGTGACCAAAGACATGTTTAAATGGGAATTAAAACCACAAGAATGAATATAATGGGGCAACAGTAGCTTAGTTGGAAGTGTTCATCCTCTGATCTGAAGGTTGGTGGTTTAAATCCCACTCTCGACATAAACATCATTGGTTGAGTGGTCAGATCCAGTGGCCCACAGGTTTGCGTTGCAATTCCAGCTCCCACAGATGAATGCTGTTGTTGTGTCCTTGGGCAAGACACTTAACCGCTCAGTGTCTGCGTACAGTGGTGTATGAATGTGTGTCTGAATGGGTGAGTTGTTCCTTGATGTAAAGAGCTTTGAGTGTATAGAAGGTGGAAAAGTGCTATATAAATATGTGATAGGCCTGTTTCTTTATATATGCCATTTTTATTTTATTCTAGTGTGCAAGACCGCTACCCACAGGAAATGTGAAGCTAAGGTAAGGAAGTTTTACTTACTTGTTAAACATTCTTTGTTTTTTCTTCACTGTTTTGGCTGTCAGTGAGTGGTCAGAGCAACACCCACGCTTACATCAGGTGGTTTTATTCACTGCACAGGACCTGTGAGTGATTACAAAAGTTATTTTTCTTTTGAACTGCAGTCACAGAGATTCAAATATTGTAAGGCTATATATTTTCAACTTTAAAACTTTACTCAAAATTGACTCTTGTGAGCTTTACGCCAGTTATAATGTTGTTACCGCCTCAAAAACATACCTGGAGTTGTGTTTTTGTTTCATTCACATGTTTGAGTATCCCGTTATTATTTGTCTTTTTACATCTCTTTGATATCATAAAGCAGTAGTTTACTTACTTTATTCCGTTTGAGAGAAGAACTCAGTCTAAATATGCAGGGTTTGTGTGTTAATCTTGTGTGAATAAAATAAAGCACATCTTTGGGTATGTTTTTGATGAGGAAACAACATTATAACATCAGAACATAGTGTGGTCATATGTGGACTATTAGTATTTGGTTTCAAGCGACAACAGGAATGCCCACTGATGACGCTAGACCTATATTATTTCTTGAACAGATAATTAAGTTATATACAACTTGACGGTTGTATCTCATTATTCATGGCCACACCATCTTATAACTGATAAATAACTGGAAGATTATGTTCATGTGATACTGTAGACTATAAGAGACTATAAAAGTATAACCTGATGTAGGCTATCCTCCCGAATCCAGGTTAAAATGGCGTTTCCATAGCAACAGGCAGTCAACAGGACACACCAAATCTGGGTTAAGCACCTATACTGACCTGCTAATCCTTTACTACGAGTCGTGTCCTGGGAAACTACTTTACTTTTAGGTTACTACTTTTACATCCAGTACCACTACTTTTACTTCTACTAGTTGCAGTAATATGTAAATGAGGAAACTTGTATTAACTTTTTATTACCGGTAGTGTAATAAAACTTAGATTGTCTGCACCCAGTACTACTACTACTACTACTACTACTACTACTACTACTACTACTACTACCACTACTACTACTACTACTACTATTACTATTACTACAAAGCCATTGTTGTAATTGTTAAAGCAGGAAACAATTAGCTTCATATTAGTATAGTACAACATTTTACTACTACTATTTCTGCACCTGTTTCTACTACTACTACTACCACTACTACTAAAACTTGCATTGACCTACTACTACTACTACTGCTACTACTACTACTGCAACTACTACTACTAGTACTACTACCACAAAGTCTAGACAAAATGAAGTTGTTGTAATTGTCAAAGAATGAAACCTAAATATTGACTTTATAATATTATTAGTAGTATCATTTATTACTACTTCTGCTACTACCACTACTACTACTACAAAGCCTAGAGAAAATGAGTGAAAATGACTACTACTACTACTACTACTGCAACTACGACTACTACTGCTACTACAAAGCCTAGACAACATGAAGTTGTTGTAACTGACAAAGAATGACATTTAAATATTGACTTTATAATATTATTAGTAGCATATAATCTCTTAGTACTGCTACTACTACTATTACTACTACTACTACTACTACTATTACTATTACTACTACTATTACTATTACTACTACTATTACTATTACTACTACTAGAAAGCCAAGACAAAATGAATGACAAAATTGTCAATGAATGAAACTTAAATATTGACTTTATAATATTATGAGTAGTATAATCTATTACTACTACTACTACTACTACTACTACTACTACTACTACTACTATTACTACTACTACTACTACTACTACTACTACTGCTACTACTGTAATTGTTAAAGGATAAAACTGGTATTGCCTTTCGAATATTCCGAAACAGTCCTAAAAATGATTATCTCGTTAGCGCAGCATAAGAGGTGAATGAGGTGTATAGTGCGGCGGTGTGGGCTGGTGTCAGTATCCCCAGTGGAATGTGGCCGGCTCTCAAAGAAGCATTGATACAGGACGAAGCGATGAATGCACAGAGAGATGGTGAGGCTCGGGGCCAGACGTGGGCACCCTGAGTCAGCAGCACCAGCTCTGAGGACAAGACCCAGGAGGAGGCATGTGGAAATCTGAAGAAAGCTCTTAAAGGATACACAAAATGGATTCTTGTGAGATGTTAGAATGCCGTTACCTTTTCAAAAACATACCTGGAGTTGTGTTTTGTTTCATTCACAAATGTTTTAGTAACCCTTTATTATTAGTCTGTCTACATCTCCAAAGCTCAAAATATTTTGGTCCACCTTCTGATGTCATGATGTCATTACCTTTAGTTCAATACGTGCATCCCGAATTTCGGATTTCCGGTTATCACGCAATGCATACTGGGAAGGATTTTCAGGAAGAGTGAGCATCAGACCGCTATGTTTGATTTTCCAGTGGGATGCGTCTTTTGTCAAATCCGATCTTTTTAACCATATCGCTTTTGTTTCTGGTTCTGATATTGTCATATTTTAGTTATGGGATTTGGACATTGTTATTATGTGGTTGTTGGATGTCGACTCAAGAAATAAATGCAAAAGGGAATCAGATGTGTGTGATTGCAAACCTCTGTTCAAACTGTTTCCCTTCCCAACGGAATTGAAAAATAGTGAACAGCGAAGGTGATGGGCAGTATTGATCCTCAGGAAAGACAAAAAAGGTAACCTTTGGCTGCCTAAGAAATCATCCCGAGTTTGCAGTTAACATTTTGTGTGTGGAGCGCCATCAAAGCAATGGAGTTCACAAACTTCCGCTGTTAGGACATCCAACAACCACACAATTACAATGGCTGAATCCCATTACTAAAATATGACAATATCAGAACCAGAAACAAAAGCGATATGGTTCAAAAGACTTGAAAAAATTGGCTTTGACAATAGACACATCCCACTGGGAAATCAAACATGGTGGTTTGATGCTCACTTTTTTGGAAGGTCTTTCTCAGTATGCATTGCAGGATGACCGGAAGTCCAAAATTCAGGATGCATGTATAGAGATCGGCAATATCAGAGCTGAAATCATCCAAATGATTCTAGTGAAGATGTATGGAGTTTAAAAACACAAGCAAAGTGTTTTCTGTTTGAGAGAAGAACCGTTCTTTTAAATATGCAGGATTTGATTTGTGTGTTAAACATTTGTGAATGAAACAAAACACAACTCCAGGTATGATATACAACATTATAACATACAGTTTATTGGAAAGAAGCGTAATATGGGAATAAAAATTCAGGAGAAAAAGGTTCTTTGATAGTGATTTTTTGCACAATTTGTTATTTGTCAATTGTCCGCCACAAACTCCTCACACCATAGTTACTGTTGCTATTTCAGTAAAACAAACTGACAATTGATAAGTGGCTGTGTCCAACAAATGTGTGAGAAATAAACACAGGGAGCAAAATTGTGAAACAAAACCTGCTGCATATTAGCTTTTCATTTTTACTCCCAAACGGCCCCTAATTAATTTCAGTGTATTATTCAGGCTGACTGGGCTTTTTCTGCTGCTGGCCTCGGACTCTGGAATAAACTGTTCCCTAAATCACAGACTTGGGCCTGTTTAAATCCAGAATCAAAACTATTCAGACTGGCTTTCAACACTCCTTGGGAGATAACAGGGAGCACTACTCTGTCTGAAGCGCTGTTACTCAAATTAGATTTTAATCTGAGTTTTATTTCAACACAATAGACAATCTAAGGCTACTTTTATATGATGATGCTCTGAACAGAAGACGCAAAAGTGGCGTCACGTCTTTACATTTTATTCCCTGTTTAGACGAGCATTTTCAGGAAGAAATCTGCGTGCATAAGGTGACACAAAAGTGCTTGGAATTCGATTGGGCATGCATGCCAGGCGGCTCGATGGTGACGCTAGGTCGTGATGTATGTGATGTAAACGTGTACGTGACGTGAGCAGATCTGACCAGAGTTTTACGTCTTGGCCAGTGTAGATGGAAACGCTACGGCAGAGTGTATTCTACTTTTGTACTCTGGAGGGTACTTTCAGATTTTTGCATTTTTAAGCCCCAAAAATGCAGTCACCGTGTAAACGAAAGGCACTTCCGATAAAATATTTTGTTGTTTTTCCCCGTAAGCTTTCTCATGTAAACTGGCCCCGATAGTGTTTAAGCATTAAATGTGCACTATGTACATTTTCTGGTGGAGGGTACACCACTTGCTTGTCGCCATGGAAATGTATTGCACATATGGTATTAGACTATTAAACTTTCTCGTGTTTTCTTGCTCAAACCTCAAAAATATACTATAACATCTATATAGTGACAAGCAAGTAGCGGGCCCTCTGCCAGAAAAGTTACAGAGTGCACCTTTAAGACAGCAAAACAATCAGCAGCTACTTCTTTTTAAGGTTTCCAAATGAGCTTCTGTGGTGTATTATTGCAATCTTGGTCAGAATTTATCATTAAAAACTGACTGGAGGAAATCCTTCAAAAGTGGATTGTGAAAAAGCCGCTTATCTAAGTAAAAACAGCTATGATTTTGGCTTGAATATTCAGACATTTCAAACCATGGTGCATTCAGAGGTTGTGGTTTTGATCCTATCATTGTTTATACTTCCAAATACATTGAACTTTGCACTTGACTCTGAGTTCAGCATAACTTTGAGGCCACAAGTATCCACAAGTGTTCCAAATATTCACATATGATTAATCCAGCTTCATTTGCGGTACTGACGTTTTTCTGTTTGTGAATCTTGTGACACAAACAAGCGGATGTCGTACATTAAGTTTGTGATGGGAGGTTGATATTGATGGAGCTACAGGAAGCTGAGGGCAGATAAGAGCTGGGTGTGGGGGCCTGGTCATCACATATTTATCAAACTGTGTTCTAGACATGTTTATGGGAAAAGAGTCATGGCGTTTGGATAAGAAAAGGTTTGAAGCTGTTTAATCATTTGGTTTGTGAATCATCTCTACATATGACGTCAGGTAATTACATAAGAGTCACAACTTGTCTACATT